ACACACACACACACACACACACACACACACACACACACACACACACACACACACACACACACACCCACCCTTGTATTTGCATCAATACAAGTCAATCTAATAATGTTTTTGGCTGTTTCTGTGTTCATCTATTGTTGTTTTTTGTTATCAAAATATCCTAGAAACCATCTGTTTGGGCTTTGATAAAATTAAAACCAATTAACTTTTGGAACCAACATGATTTAGGATGTCCATCATAGCTAACTGACATTAGCCAACACAAAAATGGTTATGGGGCGGATATGGCTGAGTGGTTAAGGGAGTCGTTCCTCTTATTTGAGAGTTGTCAGTTCAATTCCAGGGACACAACCTGTCAATGTGTCCCTGGGCAAGACACTGAACCCCCACTGCCTCTGATGTGTGTTCCATCAGTGTATGAATGAGATCTAAAGCACTGATTAATCTCTATAGATTGATTTGTACATGTTAGCTTTGTAGAGACACGATAAAGTGCTGTGTTGATGTGTATGTGGATGTGTGTGTGGATGGGTGTGTGGATGTGTGTGAGAATGTGTGTGTGGATGGGTGTGTGGATGTGTGTGAGAATGTGTGTGTGGATGGATGTGTGGATGTGAGTGTGGATGGGTAAATGAGGACACAGATTGTAAAGAGCTTTAAGTATCCTGTTAGATTGAAAGGTGCAACAGTAAATAAGTACAGTCTATTTACCATTCATAATTGTGTTAATGTTACAGAGCTAAAATGAGATGTAGTAGTAGMTGACATATACTTTGAGACACAAATACTTTGAGACACATATACAGCGCGTAAAATAAGTACTGAACACGTCACCATTTTTTTCAGTAAATATATTACTAGAGGTGCTAATGACATGAAATTTTCACCAGATGTCGGTAACAACCCAAGTGATCCATACATACAAAGAAATCAAACCATAAATGTCCAGAAATAAAGTTATTTGTAATAATGTGGAATGGCACACAAGAACCATCTGATGATGGGTAAAAGTAAAGAGCTCTCTCAAGACC